TGGGAGCCTGGGGGGTGGGTAGATGCTGTCCGTAGTGGGGCGGATAAGCCTCCTGCGTGGTCGGATCAGCGTATGCCGACCAGATCCATGGTAATGCCTTGTCGTGCTCTTCCTGGGAAATGATGTGCCTCCAAACGGGTTCAAAGAACTCTGGGAGTATATCCATGGCGTAAAGACGCGCAAGTGTGTCGACGCACTCGTTCCAAGGGTGTGCAGCGTGTCCATGCGCGTGCTCAAATATGACAGTGTGCACGCACATACGTATGGCTTGAATAAGACAATCCAGCAGACGCTTGACCGACTGGAGGGTGCCTTGCACGTATCCTCCCCTGTATACTCTGAGCACGTCCATGTTGTCAGTATGAAAGCTGACTGCGGCCTGGCGCAGATGCACAGGCGCTTGCAACAGCCAGGCGCTGGCCCAAATGGCCGCTTCCAGCTCTGCTCGTAGAGACGCACATGTGTCCGAAGCGTCCCAGCCTGTGAGTGACCCTGCAAGATGACCTATCAGAGAAACCCCCATGGCAGTGGTTGCAAGCACGCAGAAGGCCCAGGCAGGTTGACACCTGTTGTCTTCATAGCGATAACCCCCTGCTGTGGCATCTGTGTATATCTGAATTTCCTCGATGGGCATGTCCATGGGAAGGGGTATGGGATTGGCAACAGCCTGAATAGTAGACGAGTGCCAATATTGGGCCCAACTCAAGATGTCAGTCGAGAGCTGCGCTGGCCATTTCCGTTCCAAGAGAGATGCAGTGTCCGAGTAGTGTGGTATGAGAGAAACCGAGATACCCTGCGCTGATGCGGTCACCTGCTCTCTGTTGTCGTGCTCCAAACATGGGGCACGCTGCTTTTCCTGTCGTAAAGGAGAATATTCATGCAGGCGGGGGGGAACCCTGGATGGATGGGAGATGTTAAATTCGAAGGCCGAGACGCTTCTGACACGGCCTTTAGCGAAAAACTGGGCTCGCTGGTGATGCGCTGGCTGGCGGAAAAAAACAGTATCCTGGGCAACGCTCGCAGGCGACTGCAAGGCGGCGTGGTCACTGTCCTCGGCGGCAGCTCTGGCTGCCGCTTCCTCTGCTGCCTCGCGGTTTGCCACTTCTCCTGCGCCTGCGCCCAGGGCTCCTCCACCCTCTCGGTCAGCTCGTAGGACTTTGGCCCCCGCCTGTCCACTGTCCGTGTGCCGTCGAGGGGAGACTGAGCGTGTAGCTCTGCGGCCAAGCAGGGCCGCCTCCAGCTTGGCTCGGTTGGCCTTCTGGATCTCCGCTGGCACTGGCTTGTCCTTGTCCTTCTTCGGGGTCTGCATGGCGACTGCGGTCTTGGCCGCATCGATGGCGGCGGCGGTGATGGTCTCCATGTCGGATTTCTCCTCGGTCCTGATGTTGGCAATCTCAGTCTGGAGAGTAGCCACAGTCTGCTGGAACGATGACATGTTGTGCAACATCTGTGCGTTGGATTGCTGTATTGCTGCCGATAGTGCTGGCATGCTGACTTCATTACCCATGACCACTGCAGTGGGCCCTCCAGGTGGTACCTGCGAATTGGGCGGGGCGGCCTGGGAGCGCGGTGTCTCCTGGCCTCCAACTGCTGCGGCTTGAGCAGGCGTACTCGAGGTCGCGGCAGGAGTAGCTGTCGTGCGCTGCACTGTCGCTGTCCTGGGCGGCGTCGTGAACGGTGAGGAACTGGCTGTCGACCATGGTGCTCTGCTGGTTGTTCCTTTCTGCCCTGGGCGGAAACTCGTCTGCGTGAGCGGTCCGTCCATCATGAGTTCGTCATTATCATCGTCAGGAACGGCGATGTTGCCTGCGATTGGTTGTTCATCGTCCAAATCTTCAAAATGTTCCAGCAGCTGTTCTGTTTGTGCGAGTTCATCTGTGAGAACTTGGCATTGAGTGTCGGCCGCCTCTAACTGCTCTTGGAGTAAGTGCATCTTTGCCTGGGCGTCCATGAGGCGCTTCTTGCAGCGGCCGGCGAACATACGCTGCTTTGTGATTCTGGCCTGGGGGGACCTGGAATGCATCATCTGGTATAGAAGGACGCTGTACTCTTCCTGCATGCGGCTCACCTGTTCCTGGTCGAGGTTGAGCGCGGCTGCACAGTGCAACTGGCGTTCGATGGATTCCATTGTTGCTGCCAACGCCTTTCTGAAATCCCCGAGCTGCTGGGGATCCAGTGGAGGTTCGCGCCATCGTCGATGTGCTTGAGCGACCTCTGGAGACGCTGGCATGATCGGGATAATGTCATCTGAGGGCCCTCCTTCAGTCTGCTTTGCCACTGAGCCTGCTGTTCCTCGCTGTGGGGGCTGCGAGGTGGCGGCGCGGCGCTGGGCGCGCGGGCGAGAGGCGGATCTGTCACGTCCACGTCGTTCTCTCCACTCCTGAGCTTGGCTCGGGTGGCACTTGGCGCAAACCTGGGCCGTCCATGCATTGTGGTGCGCACAGGCGGGACATTCCCACAGGCTCTTGTACTTGGTTACGGTCTTCCATGGCGGGGATTTGGGTTCTCGATCATAGCGCCCCCTGCTGTCACCTCTGGACCGACCTTTCGTCATCTGGTGATCTGGCTGTCGGCTATGATGTTGCTGAAGCAATTCGGCTGCCGCTGCTACCTGTAGCAATGCTCGCGCACGGCTTCTCTCTTTTCGTAGCCGTCTATGCCAGGCTGGGTCCTTGGTGCGAGCCGTGATAGGCTCACTCGTGGCTGCACGGCTGGCCCTGCTGCTGAGCGGGCGAGCGCGTATGGCAGCCGTCCCGTGCGAGGAATCTCGCCGTACCTGGTACAGCACCCACAAATTCCTCGAGCCGGGACGGCGGCTGGAGGAGGGAGGAGGGAGGAGGGAGGAGGGAGGAGGGAGGAGGAGGAGGGAGGAGGGAGGAGGAGGAGGAGGAGGAGGAGGAGGAGGAGGAGGAGAGGAGGAGGAGGAGGAGGAGGAGGAGGAGGGAGGAGGAGGAGGAGGAGGAGGAGGAGGAGGAGGTCCCAATCCGATATCTTCCCGTGTTTCAGAACGGTGCTCCCGCTGCAGCGTGGGAGTCATTTTCGGATCGGCGCTCTGCTCCCGTCGTTGAGAGAGGCGCCCTCGCCCCAGCGCGGGCCACTTTTCTGGACCCGAGTCCTTTTTCATCGTTGTCGCCCCTCCTATTTCCCCTCCTCCGTTTTCCGTGCTCCGCCTTTCCCTCCACCTGGGGCTCCAGCTCTTGCTCCTTTCCGCTCCTTCCACTCCAGCCCCTGCTACTGTTCGTCCTTCTCCTCCCCCTTCCACGTCCTCCTCCTTTTCCTCCTGCTCATCCGCCACGTCCTCCTCCAGTGTACGCAGCTCCTTGTTTTCCAGCTCCAGATTTTCTGCTTGCGCACGACACGATAAAACAAAGGGGGTCCTCTTAGGAATTCCGCGTCCGCTCTGTCACGCGTCGGCGGAGAAACGGAACACCACGCAACGGGAAGGGATGGGTGGGAGGGGGCGGATGTCAGATATGGCGTGAGCGCACCTAGCCTGATATGAATACTTCTCTCCTCCCTCCCCCGAAGATGGCCAGGGACTGGCCTGCCCCCCTCCTTGTATAGTTTTTTTGTGCGCGCAGGACTTCATGCTTTGGTCTTTCCTGTGCCTTTTTCGATGGGAACGTTCTCGATGCCTCAACATGGTGCTACCGCTTCAGCGCTGGCCTCATTTGAGCGACGAAAAGAAATGTCTTACGCGCGATGACGCAGCAACCTTACGCGGTGGCTTACGCGGGCCGCTGGCGCGGCACGCCACATCGGAGACGAAGGCGCTTACGCGCGACCTTACGCGGGCAACTTACGCGCAAACGTCGTCGCAGACGACCCCGTTTCTGCGTCGCCCATTTTAGGATCGGCTCTTCGATCCCATCGTTCAGATTCCCCTCCGCTTCCTCCTCCTCCTCCTCCTCCTCCTCCTCCTCCTCCTCTTTGACGTTGACCAGACACGAAGAAAACGCTTGTTGCGTCGGTCCTCCTCCTCGTCCAGCTCCTGCTCCTCCTTCTCCTCTTCCTCCTCCTCCTGATCCTCCTCCTCCCTTCGCTCGCTCGCTCGATGGGGCAGTGGAGATGGGTCTCTGCCAGGGGGACGCAGAGGAACAGATGGGGAGAATACGTGCAGCTGCTTTGTGCAGCGGAGAGGAGGGGGAGGAGGAGGAGGAGGAGGAGGAGGAGGAGGAGGAGGAGGAGGAGGAGGAGGAGGAGGAGGAGGAGGAGGAGAGAGGAGGAGGAGGAGGAGGGAGGTGGAGGAGGGAGGGGAGGAGGAGGAGGAGGAGGAAGCGACGCAACGGGACGCGCGGGTCCGCCACCGCCTCCTCAGACCTCCGAGAGAGGCCCCACAGGGGCCGAAGACGTCCCACGAGGCCCATCAAGGCCACGTGGGGGATCATATGAGCAATCCGGGGCCTCGAGGGCGGGGTGATGGCAGCTCCTCTTGCTCATCTTTCTCCCTTCCCCTCACCCTCTGCCTCTTTTGTGACGTGGCCCTGCTTCAGATCGGATGATGATCGTAGCGTCCATCCCTCTCCTTCTTCCTCCGCCTCCTCCTCCTCCTCCTCCTCCTCCTCCAACTCCCTCATCCCATCCCCCCTTCTTTCCATCTATTATCTTGTTCTCTCTCTCTCTCTCTCAATCTCTTCTCCTCTCTCTCCTCCTCTGTCCTGTTTTCCTCTTGTCTGCCCTCTGCCCCGAATGCCCTGCCCAATACCCCGTCCTCCGCTCTCCGTCCTCCTTCTCATCGTCCTCGCCCTCCCCCCGATCCCCGAAGACGAGGCCGGGACAAGGACAACATCGGGCAGCGATAACTCGGGAGGCTCTGCAGCCCAGCGGATCTGAGAGATGCGTGCGGCGCCGCGGCCTTCCCAGAGCGCTTCGAAACGCTCCTGGGCAGCGCTCCAGAACGCTCTGGAATGAGCTGTCCCCGCCCAGGCCCCGCCATCCTTGATGCCTTAGCCTCAGCAGCTGCCTGCGAGTTCGCGGTGCTGGATAGGACGGAGTTGTTTTGCACATTCGTTTTGGTCAAGAGTAACATTGCCGTCGTTATCCCCAGCGTACCTCACAGCACAGCTGGCATATGTGTGTTTGTTGAGCTTACATTTCCCGAATGTATCTTCAACACGCTTGACGTATTCGTCGATTGTGCCCTCGGTACCGCCTCCGGCGGGCGCGATCCGGGCGAGGGCGCGCGGCCGTGCCGTGCGGCCCACTCGTGCCAGCTGCTGGCCACGCCGCGTGCCTCCAGCTTTCGGGCAGGGCACAGCCACGCGGCGGCGCGCACCGAGGGCTCAGCTGGGCATGTCCCCCCAAGGGGGGGGAATGTGCAAAACTGGTGAAACAAATGCTCCGGGGACGGCTTTTCGATGATCTGTGGACCGTTTTGGGGCACTTGTTTGGTATCTTCTACTGCTCGTCCAGCATCTCCGCCTGCAGGGGGACACGCCCGACCTGACCCGAGGGGGAGGGCGACGCTCGGCCGCCGAAAGGGGCTCGATCTCGAGTCCGCTCGGCGGCCGAATGGCCTCAGACGTTGAGCGGGCTCAGGAGGCATTGGCGGCGCGCGCGCGCCAGAGTGGCGCGGGGGGGGCGGCCTTCTGAGAGAGCGGTGTGGGGGCAAGGGGGGCCTTCCGAGACTGCCGGCGTCTTCTCAGAAGTCCTCCCGGCCTCCACGAAGCCTCCCCGGAAGCCTGGAGGGGGCCCGCCTGAGAAGGCCACCCGCCCCTTCAACAATGTATTGTCCTACGAAGCTCCGCGCCGCTCTTGGGCAGGCTTCGCTGCCTGGCAAGAGGGGGGAGAGGAGGGGCGTAGCAGGCAGAAGACGACGAACGCGCCGACGGGAGGCTGGGGCCCGGCGGGGCGGGCGGGCCGGGGGCAGGGGCCGGGCGGAGACAGCAGGCGGGGCGCAGGAGGGAAAGAGAAGGAGGCAAGGAAGGGGAGGAGATGGGAAGCAGCCGCAGGAGAAGCTCCCCGCCTCTGTCCCCAGACCCAGGCCCCCGACGTCAGGCCTGTTTCCTGGCGTGCACCCCCAGCAATCTGGGCCACTCCCCCATGCCATCGCTCGGGCGTCCACTCCCCGTGCATTTTTCGAATTCGTGCGTTCCTTTTCGCGAGATGATCCAGGATGCTCCTCGATGGTGCTCGCCGAGGCAAAATGCATACGTCCGGGCGATGCTGAGCCCGACGCCATGCTTGTTCCAGACGTGCACCCTCCGACAAATCTGGGCCACTTCCCCTCTGGACCCGCTGTTCACCCCGAGCCGATTTTCTCTTGTTCGGGCCCCGGGGCCCGGCGAGGGCCCCCTCTCCCCCCGGAGGTCGGCAGCAACTTGAGAGCCTCCCGCCGTGTAATTTTCGTGCACGACGCGAGGGGAAAGCATGCCATGTTTCCTCCCTCCCTCCCTCCACTCCCCCCTCAATTCCCTCCCCCCCTCCCTCACCCCCCCCCTCCCACCCTCCCTCCCATTCCCACCCAATCCTGCCCAGGAGGAGGAGGAGGAGGAGGAGGAGGAGGAGGAGGAGGAGGAGGAGGAGGAGGAGGGGCATGCCAGGTCCTGCGGGCCGTGCGCGCCGCCAAGTCCTGGCCAGCGGTGCGGAGGGCACTGTCCTGAGAGGCCCATGGTGCCAGCCTTCTGCCTCGTGTTTGGGAGCAGACGCCATGCCTCGTGCGCATGTCATGGCCCCGTGCACGTGGCAAGGGGCTCGGGAGCCAGGCCCGGCTCACTGGAGGAGTACCACAGAGACCCGAAGGGAATCATACGAACCACAATCAGAAGAGTAACGATTAGAATAACTTTACGGAGGCACATATCTAGGAACAAGAAGAGGACGATTGAACAATCATATTCATGACAATGATAGTTACAATAATGCCAATGATGCGAACACGGGGAACCATACTAATGCTAAGAAGAGTCATCATAATAATAAACGGCATACACATGAACCGTCGGAGCTCCACGCGCATTTCTTGTATTGGTGCTCCAGCCCCCAAGGAGCAGGGCCTAACGCCGACCCAAGAAATCCGTGCGGAAATCAAACAATTTTGTTGGTGCCGTTGTATCGTTTTCGTGAAGAAAAGGCGGGCCAAAACTGGAAAAAAGAAGGAATCAAACATGGGCCAACATGGCCATGGATCTCGTTCTGGATTTCCCTCCGGTCCGAATTCGCAGAAGCGGCGCTCAGGCGAGCACCCTGGAAGCCCCGGAAACATATCATGTTCTCCATGCCCATGCCTCAGGCTCCTCTGAGGGACGTGGAAGATTCTAGATGCTCGGCGCCACTGCAGAGGAAAGGATCAATGGGGAGGAAGCGAGAAGAGGCGCGCGGGAGGAAGCGGCAAGTTCCTGCCGCAACGATCCTGAGTCCGCGTAAACCGATGTGCCTTGAACGATCTTCAGGTGCGCTGGAGAGGGGGCCAGCCAGAGGGCGGGTTGCGCATCATGGTCTCGAGCGTGTGCGTGGACGAGGGGTCGGGCCAGGGGAACCGTTGAAAGGAACCCAGACGCTAGTAATAACAAAAAACAACACGATGGAGAAGAGGGGGCCATAACATCTTGGAGATGACGTGGCCCTGGCCATGACTTCACCCCCCTAGTCCCCATACCCGTCTTCGACGCGCCCGAGATCTCCGTCCCCAGATGTCCCCAGAAGCTTCCGACCACATTTTTGTATACATTTCGAGCCACGAGTTGTTGTCTCTGGGCAACTGGCCCCGAAACAGCTGCTCCCCCTCCCCCAGAGCTAGCGGAGCGCGCCAGGGGCGGCGCCAGAGGCGCCGCCAGGTAGATCTAGCGCAAATCCGAGAAATCCGAGCGAACATCTGAAAGTCTGCGTTTACGGCAAATTTGTGTCATGACGACCCCGGCGTTGACGTTGGTTTCTGACGCCGCGTGGATCGTCCAACCTTGGACGATCGGCGGCTTCCGATCGCCAGATCGCTCCATATCAGCCGATTCTGGGCCCCTGGCGACGTTCAAGCTTGAACGCCCGCGCTGGGGTCGCCGCCGCGTCGACACGACACGAACCGACCCTGAGATCCAGGCGTTGCAAAGTTAGGTCGGGCATGTCCGCCTACAGGGGCATGTTGGACGAGAAATCAAACATATTCAACACAGATTCAAGAAATAATCAGAACATCATAGAAATCGTCCCCAGACTATTTTTGACTATTTTCGAATATTCCACCAGTAATGTGACATACCCGACTTAATCACAGAGGGCGTTTTCGCTCGGCTTCGGGCCCTGGTACCGTCACGGATCGATCCAGCGGCCCGACCAAGTCCAGCAGAACGACGGGGTTCGGGGCTGTGATCGCGAATTTACAAGGTGCAGATTTTTTTCGCTACGTCGGATCTCAGGATGCTTGGATGACCGCGGTGGTAGCCGAGGGAATAAAAAGTGGTCATAAGTAGATGTGAACATGTGCTATCTCTGGCCTGCGCTAGCTGATCAGTGAGTTGCACATGCCTTGAGCGGCTAAACGAGGGTTAGGTGACTCCGGTGCCATGGGCTCCGCCCACTTGGCCCAGACCTGTGCCCCCCGTAAGCCGCTCAGGGCCCGTGCAGCCCACTCAAACGCCAGGCCAGGCCAGATACAACTTCTCTCAGCATCCACTGCAACCCCGCCCATCCCCTTAAGCACCCCGCAATGTCACCCACGCGGCGGCCCAGGGCCGCCCACACGGCTGCGAGGCGCGGGGCGCCACGCCCCCCAGGGCGCGGCGGGCCCGCGCCGCGCGCCCTCCTGTGACCCTCGGGGCCCTGCGCTCGGCCTTCCTCGCCCCCCCTGGCCACCTCCCCCCTGCCGTTCCCCTCTTGGCAGCCTCCCATGTGGGTTCCGGGCAGACGGTGTCGGAGGGCCGCGTCGCACCGCCAACGCATCGACCATGCACCGCTGGTTCATCGGTGACGTCGGCGATGCGTCGGCGACGTCCGCGTCGAGAACGTGGGGCTCCATGTCGAACCGCATCGCCGCTGCGTCGGCGATGCGGCGTGATCCTCCGACCCCATCTGCTCGGATCCCATTTGGGGGGCCTGGATCCCGTTCCCCTCCCCCCCCCTTCCCCGCCCACCACCGCCACCAGGCGACCGCAGCCCGGAAGTCACCTCGCGGGCGACCCGAAGTCCGAGGAGTAGGAGCCGGAGTGGAGCGACAGCACCTCCGCGGCACCCGGCCGCCACGGCGGCGCGGCTTGCCCGGTGCCGCGCTGGCCACGCGGCTCCTGAACGGAGCCCGTGCTCACGTTCCTCCTTCTCCGCCGCCTCCGCCTCTTCCGACCTCCTCCGCCGATTCTTCTTCCGCCTCCTCCTCGTCCTCCTCCTTCCTGCGCGCGTCCCTCCTCCTCCTTCTCCTCGTTTGCCCCACAACATGTTCTCGCGAATTCACGCACAAACGCAAACACAAGCACAGGCACAAGCACACGAACAAACACACATACAAACACAACCACACAGACAAACAGGCACACAGACACACACACAGACACACAGACACACAGGCACACAGACACACAAACAAACACACCAACCCATCAACCCACCAACCCACCAACCCACCAATCCACCAATCCACCAACAACAGACCAAACACCAACACACAATCGCACCAACACGCCAAGACACAAACCAACACACCAACACACCAACGAACCATCACACCAACGCATCAACACACAATCACACACCCACACACAAACACACAACCACACACAAACATTCACACACGCACGCGCACACGCACACGCACACGCACATCCACACACACACACACGCACACGCACACGCACACGCACACGCACACGCACCACGCACCACGCACCACGCATTCGCACACGCACACACACACACACACACGCACACGAACGCGCACGCGCACGCGCACACGAACACGCACGCGCACACGCACACGCACATGCACACGCACACCACGCGCACACGCACACGCACACGCGCGTGCGCACGCGCACGCACACGCGCGCGCGCACGCGCACGCGCACACGCACACGCACACGCACGCACACGCACACGCACACGCACACGCACTCGCACGCGCACGCGCACGCGCACGAACACACGCACACGCGCACGCGGACGCAACCGCACGCGCAGACACAGACGCAGACGCAGACGCAGACGCAGACGCACAACCTCACTCACACCCACCCCCATCCTTGTTCCTTATAAGAATATACCCCCACCTACCTCGTATTCCAGCCGATAGCGACCCAATCCGGGACCTCCCATCCGGACTGTAAAAAATCAATACGAAGTGGCCGTTTTTCTTCTCAACATCGTCTTTCTCGTCGTCGACGATGCGAAAAACGTGGCAGGAATGGGACGCGGCGCGCATCGCGCGCAGCAGTCAATCTGGGCCCGCCCGTCCTGACTGTAAAAAATCAATACAACGTCTTCGTTTTTTCATCTCAGCATGGCCTGCCTTGTCGCCGACGGTGCGAAATACGTGGCAGCAGTGGGACGCGGCACACATCGCGCGCGGCCGTCAATCCGGGCCCGCCCATCCTGACTGTAAACAATCAATACGAAGTCTCCGTTCTTTCCTCTCAGATGGCCTCCCTTGTCGCCGACGGTGCGAAATATGTGGCAGGAATGGGACGCGGCGCGCATCGCGCGCGGACGTCCATGCGGGCTGCGGGCCCTCCCATCCTGACAAATAAAAAAACATACAAAGTTGCCGTTTTTCTTTTCATCATGGCCTGTCTTGTCCTCGACGATGCGAAATGCGTGGCAGGAATAGGGCGCGGCGCACAACGCGCGCGGACTTCTGGGGCAACCCCAAGGCGGGAAGGGCCACCTTACTTGTCAGAAGCAATGCCGTGCTGATTTTCGCTTGCCCACATAGCTGTTCTTGTCGTCCACCCCGCAGAAGTGCATGGCAAGAATTGGGCGCGACACCCCCCCCCCGCTCGAAGTGAATGAAATGACCTTCTCGCTTGGGCGCCGAACGAAATTTTCTCAAAGTTGCGCTCCCGCTTTGGCTCGGCGCACGTGTTTAGCTCGCCAATTCATTGGGCGCCGGGGCGTTCCAGGAGGCCCTGGGGTGACGAATGCCTGGGAGGTATTTGCTTGTTCAGGCTCTTGGAGGGCCTCCTGAGTCTCCCCGCGGTTTCTTGGTGCTACGGCCGTCTGGAGTCCATCTTGGGCGTCTTGGAGCGATCTATCGGCGACTCAGGGCTACTACTACTACTACTACTACTACTACTACTACTACTACTACTACTACGACGACGACGACGATACAACGACGACGACGACGTCGACGACGACGACGACGACGACGACGACGACGACGACGACGACGACGACGACGACGACGACGACGACGACGACGACGACGACGACGACGACGACGACGACGACGACGACGACGACGACCGACGACGACGACGACGACGACGACGACTACTGCTACTACTACTACTACTACACTACTGCTACTACTCTACTACTTACTACTACTACTGACTACTACTACTACTACTACTACTACTACTACTACTACTACTACTACTACTACTACTACTACTACTACTACTACTACTATACTACTACTACTACTACTACTACTACTACTACTACTACTACTACTACTACGCGCCAGCACCCAGTTGCGCCAGCATTGTTTCTTATGTTGTGGGAGGGCGGAACGTGTCCGTTGTTCCTTTCAACATGGCCAGTCTTGTCGTCGACGTTGCGAAATGCGTGGCGGGAATGGGACGCGGCGCGCATCCCGCGCGGACGTCAATGCGGTGTCCTGGGGTATCCTCCACTCGCACTGAAATGCCCGCGCACCCCCCAGTTGTGCCATCACTGTTTCTTATGTTGTGGGAGGGCGGGTGGGAATGGGCATGCCAAGCTTGACTCGCTCGAGCTGGCTAGCTTGACCCCCGCCCCCGCCCCCGCGCCCGAACCCGCGCGCTCGCGCGCGCCCGCGCCCGCGCCCACACACGCGCACACCCACACCCACGCCAACGCACACACACACACACACGCACACCCACGTACACCCACGCACGCCCACGCACACACACACACACGCACGCACACAAACGCACACCCACGCTCACGCACACACACACACACACACACGCGCACACACGCACGCACATGTACACACATCACACACATACACTTATCACACCCACCCCTACCCCCACCCCCGCACTCACACCAGCACGCGCGCGCACGCTGGCACGCGCGCGCGAGCACGCGCGCGCGCGCACGCGCGCGAACATCAAACGCACATCGCACGCGCACGCCCCCCCCCCCCCCCCCCCCCCCCCCCCCCCCCCCCCCCCCCCCCCCCCCCCCCCCCCCTCCCCCCCCCCCCCCTCCCCACACGCACGCGCGCGCCGCGTGCCCGCGCCCGCGCCCACGCCCGCGCCCACGCGCCCACGCCCACGCCCACACATCCACACCCGCGCCCACACCCACACCCTCACTCACACCCACACGCACCCACGCCCACACCCACGCCCACACCCAGACCCACACCCACGCACGCGCCCGCGCCCGCGCCCGCGCCCACGCCCGCGCCCGCGCCCACGCCCGCGCCCGGATCCACGCCGACACCCACGCCGACGCCCGCGCCCCGCACCCAACGCTCACGCCCACACAGACACGCACGCAGACACACGCGCACGCGCGCGCGCACCCACTCACTCACGCATCCGCGCCCGCACGCCCCCCGCGCCCCCGCGCCCGCGCGCGCGCGCGCCCGCGTGCCCGCGCCCCCGCGCGCACGCGCACCCACCCACCCACGCGCCCGCAGCCGCGCAGCCGCGCGCCCACGCAGCCGCGCACCCGCGCGCCCGCGCGCCCGCGCACCCACGCGCCCGCGTTCCCGCGCCCGCGCGCCCACGCGCCCTCGCACCCGCGCACGCGCGCACACACACACACACTCACGCACCCACGCGCCCACGCACCCACGCGCCCACGCGCCCACACAGCCACGCAGCCACACAGCCAAAGCCACGCGCGCACACCCGCGCACCCATGCGCCCGCACACCCAAGAAACCACACGCCCACGTACCCACGCACTCGCGCGCCCACGCACGCACGCACCCACGCACCCACGCGTCCACGCACCCGCGCGCCCACGCCCACACGCCCGCGCACCCACGCACCCACGCACCCACCCACGCACCCACGCACCCACGCCCGAACACCCCGACGCCCCCCCCCCGCTTCCCCCCCACACACACGCACCCACACTCATACCCACACCCACGCCCACGCCAAGTTGCACACGCACACGCACGCGCGCACGTACACGCATGCGCGCGCACACGCACGCGCACGCGCGCACGCACGCGCGCGCGCACGCACAAGCGCGCACACGCGCACGCACACGAACACGCACGCGCGCACGCACGCGCGCGCACGCGCACACGCACACGCGCATGCGCGCGGGTTCACACACGCACGCGCGCGCGCACGCACGCGCGCGAGCGCCCGCGACAGCGCACGCGCTCGCGCACGCGCGCAACAACGCCCACACCCACGCCCACGCACACGCACGCGCGCGCCCGCATTCACGCGCGCATGCGCACGCACGCGCGCGCACACGCATGCACGCACTCCCACACCCACACCCACACCCACACGCATGCCCACACCCGCGCCCGCGCACGCGCACACGCACGCGCACGCGCACACGCAAACGCACGCACACGCGCACGCGCACGCGCACGCGCACGCGCGCACGCGCGCATGCGCGCGCGTCCGCGCCCTCGCCCGAATCCACGCTCGCACCCACCCCCGCGCCCGCGCCCTCACCCGCGCCCACGCGCGCGCACGCGCACGCGCGCGCGCACGCGCGCGTGCATGCGCGCACACGTGCGCGCGCATACTCGCGCACGCGCACGCGCGCACGCGCAATCACGCACCCACGCACGCCCTCGCACGCGCACACGCGCACCCGCGCGCGCGCACGCACCCGCACACACGCACTTACACGCGCACACCCACGCACGCGCACCACGCACCACGCACCACGCACACACGCACACGCACACCCACAGACACACACACACACGCGCACACGCGCACGCACTTACCACGCACACGCGCACACGCACACGCGCGCGCGAACGCACGCGCTCGCGCGCTCACGCACGCGCGCGCGCACGCGCACGGGCACGCGCGCACGCGCACGCGCGCGCACGCGCGCACGCACGCACGCACACACACACACACGCACAC